GGGATATAAGATTTCCTAGTCTGACCCCTTCATTTTGCAGATGGGGAAACTGAGGCCCAGAAAGAGACAGTGACTGGCCTGAGATTACACAGTGAGAAGCAGCCTCAGAGGAGAGAGAAGGACCTTTCTCCCACACTCCTGCCCAGCTGCCTCTCTCTCTACAGGTTGGCACTGACTGGGACCCCAAAGAGCGTCTTTTCCGGAACTTTGGGGGGTTACTGGGGCCGCTGGACGAGCCTGTGGCCATGCAGCGCTGGGCCCGGGGCCCCAACCTCACAGCCACAGTGGTCTGGATCGACCCAACCTATGTGGTGGCCACATCTTATGACATCACAGTAGATACGGAGACCGAGGTCACACAGTACAAGCCCCCACTGAGCCGGCCCCTGCGGCCAGGGCCCTGGACTGTTCGACTCCTTCAGTTCTGGGAACCGCTGGGTGAGACCCGCTTCCTTGTGCTGCCCTTGACCTTCAACCGCAAACTACCTCTCAGGAAAGGTAAGGGTGCAGTTCTCAAATGAGGCCCAGAAGCCAGACAGAATAGGACTTGCCAGAGAGGTGACCCTGAGAAGCCAGCTATCAGAGCTGACTCCCATCCCTGGAGTATGGGAAGCATGGAAGGGCTGGGGCCTTGGTCTTCTTTCCTGTAGTATGCAGGGTCCTGTGCTGCAGTGTGGTGGAAAGGGGAGCTTTCTAGTCAGGCAGACTTGGTGTGGAACATAACTCTGATGGTTTCATTGGCCTTTTGTCCTTGGAAGTTACCTGGCCTTCCTGGGCCTCAGTCTCAGCACGTGAACCAGGAACAGTATACCTATCAGGGACCTCCTGGTGCATGTGACACAAATGTACTCAACCTAGCTGAAAAGGGAAGAAGACTGGAAGAATGCAGAGCTCTCCTTCACAGAGCCTAGGAAATGTCTCAGGCCTCACTGTGAACCAGAGGCGTTCTCTCCATCTCTCTGGGACCATCTTGTTCCTCATCCTGTCCTGTCTGTATGCGTTGTCTCAGGCTCTGGCTCCCTATCCATGGCCTCTCAGTGCAACAGACACTGACCAGGAACTTTTAGTCCCCAGGTTCTACATTCTTGGGACAGCAAATCTGATTGGCCATCCCAGTCCACTGTCTGGCCAGGTGGGCAGGCTCATGTGGCTCTCTGCCCACTTGGCTGAGGCTAAGGGAGCAGGCTCTGAACAGAGACACAGGCCGGGCAAATTTCCTGCAAGGGAGGGCCTGATATAAGCAACTTCCCCTGGGAGGTGAGAGGGATGAGCCTCTGGAAGGAAGGTGGCTGGTATGCAGGAGGTGATAATCGGTAGGTGTCTCCTTCCCCCACCACATCCTATCACAAGAAGTGGGTAAGAGGAGGGGTGCCCTAGAGGAGGAGGGGGTGCTGGTGGGGCTGTAGCAAATCCAGGGCAGGCAAGCTGTGTCCCCCGCACACCTGGACCTCCCAGTCAAGAGAAGAATGGTGACAATGCACAGCAGGTGGGGACAGGGGCTGCGCCTCAAGGACAAAGTCAGAGAAGGTGCTGTAAGCCGAGGGGATGAAGCTGGCCAGTGTCTGCGCAGGAAGGGCTGAAGGGCCTGAGTACAGGCTTCTGAGGGCTCCAGGAGCCACCGATGATGGTCAAGAAAGGGTGTGGGACACAAACCAGACTGTTCCCTTCTTTTCTAAAGTGCCTTGAACCCACTCCTTTACTGTATCCTACAGTTGGGAATCTAGGGCTTACTGTCTTGATTTTATAAAACCCAGTTTTACAGGCACAGAAAGTCCCTTGGATTAGCCCAAGGTCACTCAGCAAGCTGTGACTCAGCAAGCTGTGACAGGAACTGGGGTACCCAGACCCAACTCCCAGGTCTGGCCTCCACGGAGTCTGTCGGGTGGGATGTACTTACTGCCTGCTCTGCACCCCTAGATGATGCCAGCTGGCTGCACGCGGGGCCACCCCACAACGAGTACATGGAGCAGAGTTTCCAGGGCCTGAGTAGCATCCTGAACCTGCCTCCGCCAGAGCTTGCAGAGGAGGCCGCCCGGCAACACACACAGCTCACAGGCCCTGCACTTGAGGCCTGGACAGATGGGGAACTGAGCAGCTTTTGGTCCGTGGCCGGACTGTGTGCCATAGGCCCCTCTGCCTGCCCCTCCCTGGAGCCCTGCAGACTGACCAGCTGGAGCTCTCTGTCCCCTGACCCCAAATCAGAGCTGGGGCCTGTCAAAGCAGACGGGCGACTCAGGTAGCAGGGCCCCAGCCAGCACCCGTGGAGGACCTGGGGAGTTGCACCTTACAGACAATGGAGGGCTGTCCCCTCTCACAGGCAAGAACCAGAGGCCCAGGCCACACACCCATTTCAGCCATGGAGAACCCACACAGACGGCAGGGAAGGTGGACAGGAAGTGTGAACTACTGCTGATGTCTTTGCTGGGGATCAGAGGGCTGGCGGGAATGTGAGAAGGGCGCCTGCAGCATTCCACACCCAGCTCTTCCTCGCCTTCCTCTCTAGTTCGTATTTTTTTTAATTTAAAAAGGAACATGGGTGGTGGGGGGAGAAACTGGAACAGAAGATGTGCAATAGGGCTCGGAGCAGCCCCAGGAAGAGGGCCATGTCTGTGGGGACCAGGGGCCTGCTGAGCCCACCTCCTGTTCTGGATGAGGCTGGGCCTCCCTCACTCTCCAGGGCCTCGTCCCCCAGCCTGGGCCTGTGGTGCTGTGGCTGAGTCTCTGCAGGGGTGCAGGTGCCCTGCCAGGCTCTGAGGCCTGAAGAACAGGTGATTTGGGGGCACTGCAGAGCTGGCTCTAGCAGGACAGTTCTCTTGTAGCCAGGGGACCCTGGAGGGGGTGGGGCTGGCTCCAGGGCTTTCCAGCATACCCTGCCCCTGGATGGGAAAGGCAGGGCATCAGGGCCTACTGAGACCAATGCAGAATTTCCCAGGTGCACGCTGGAAGGGCGAGGTTGCACAAGCAGTGTGGAAGAAGACTGTCGAGGCTCTCAGAAGAACCTGGAGTAGCATTGTGCCTGAAGCTCAGCGTGAATTCTGAAATATGCAACAGAAGAAATATATCTCTATCTCTCTACTCTGGGCTCTGTGTTTTTCCTCCTGGGTGTCGGGAAGCTATCACTATTCACTGGGCCTTCTCTAGAAGTCTTAGCTGGTACTTTGGTAGCCTTGAGAAGGTGAAGATCTCATTCACCCAGATTGGGGAGTTTAGAATCCTCCACTCAAAAGGGACTCAAGAACCCATCTAGCCTGGGTGCAGGGTCTCACGCCTGTAATCCCAAACTGGGAGGCTAAGGCAGGAAGATTGCTTCAGGCCAGGAGTTTGGGACCAGCCTGGGCAACATGGTGAGACCTCATCTCTACAAAAAAAAAATTTTTTAATTAGCCAGGTGTGGTGGCGCACACCTGTAGTCCCAGCTACTCAGGAGGCTGAAGCAGGAGGTTGAAGCTGCAGTGAGCCAAGATTGCACCACTGCACTCCAGGCTGGGTGACACAGTGAGACCCTGTATTTAAAAAAAAAAAAAAATCGAATCCAGTTCTTTCTTTTTCTGAGGGATAAACAGGCTCAGAGAGGCTTGAAGACATCTTCATTGCCACCCAGCAGGCTAGGGGACTAGCAGAACTTGAGCTTAGTTTGAGAGCCCTGACCCAGCACTCCCACCCCCATTACCAGGCCAGGCTGCAGCAGATGCTGGCTTCTCTGTCCCTGGTGTTACCAGGGCCCATCCTAGAAGCCTGGCCCTGCCACATGGGACACCTTCAAAAGAGGCAATCCAGCCATGGCCTGGTTATGATTGGAGCTTTTTCCTTTAGGGGCAGGAGCAGCAGCAGCCTAGGTCCCTGGTCACTGTCCTAGGACCCATGTTGAAAAGGGTTGTCCATCCTCCCTCCCTTTCCCAAGCCACCTCTCCCCCTCCCACTCTCCTACCGTCGTCAGCCAGGGCTCAGCATCAGTCCTTCACATCTTACTTAATGTGGGAGCAACAGTGAAGGTTTCTAGACCCCTAAAGTCACCCTATCGGTCAGCCACCCTCACCTCAGCTCAGCTTGGGGAACAAACTCCTGCCGAGGCTGCCACATGTCAAGTTCTCCTAGTTGCCAGGAGGGGGCGCTCCTGACAACCGAGAACAGCATTGGGGTTTTTGTCAGCTGCCATGGTGCTGGCCACACCTGCAGTATCTCAACCTTACAGCTCTCGGAGGGAGGCATTTTTATTATTGTCCTTTAGCAGATCAAAAAACTGAGGCTTAGAGCTGTGAAATGATGAGCCCAAAGTCACAGCTATTAGATGGTGGCAGCAGGCTTCAGAAAGAGGCAGGAAGCCTCCAGAGCCACTCAGTCCCTCCACTCTCCTGCTCGAAAAACAGCCTGGCTGGGCAGGTAAGCAGAAAGGAGCTAACGGTAAGAATTAGAAGGAAAGGGTGCTTAGGCTCAGAGGCTAAGATGATTCATTTTTTTCTGGCTCCTATGTTAGTGAACATCGGAAGCTATACCCTGGTTCTCTAGAATGTTGGGGTTTTTGTTTCCCAATATCAACTCTCAGGTCAATAAAGAGAAAAATTAACAACTAGATTTAGCATATTAGGCACAGGCAGTAAATATTAGAACATTTAGACTCTGCTGCCCAAGAACTCACAAACTAGCCTGTGGGTTTAACATGGGCTATGGGTGTGCTGTGTTAGACCAGAACAAAAGTTTTCAAAGTATTATGATCACTTTTTGTTTTAGAGACAGGGTCTGGCTCTGTTGTCCAGGCACAATGAAGATCATAACTCACTGCAGCCTTGACCTCCTGGCTCAAGCGATCCTCCCAAGTAGCTAAGACCACAGGTGTGCGCCACCATGCCTGGCCTTTTTTTTTTTTTTTTGGTAGAACCAGGGATCTCTCTCCACGTTGCCCAGGCTGGTCTCAAACTCCTGGCCTCAAGCAATCCTCCTGCTCCAACCTCCAAAGCGTTGGGATTACAGGCATCAGCCACTACACCTAGCCTCAAAGTACCATTAAAAAAAACAAACATACAAAAAAAAACTTACATAGATCACTTCTCAGCCTTTTGTCTAAGATCAAGTGTAAAAAGCCTTAGGTAAGACATGCACTTGCTGCATCTTCGTCCTTCTCCATCATATTAGATCAGGTCTTAGTTACCATTATTGTCACCTGCTGTAAACATTTTGAGTTTACATTCAACTCAGTGAGTCACAATCCTGAAAGAGAATTCTGATTTAATGGGTCTCAGGTGGCAACCCACTATGGTATGCTTTTAAAGCTCCTAGGCCTTTCTAACAAGCAGGCAGGCAGAACTAGGGAAGCGTAGCCCCACCCTCACTGCTCTGGCAGGCCTGTCTTGGCTCCACTGAGTTTGAAGCACTGCAGGACCCAGGACCAGGCTCCAGGACTCCTCCTGACAGGTTCAGAGGGCAGGTTTGGGGGTGGAGGCGCTTCTCTCCCATTCTCTCCTGTTCAGGTCACTGAGGCAAGCTTCACTGCTTGAGATCCTGGCAGAGTGTTCTCTACCCACCACCTTTCTGTAGGGTGAGCTCACCCTGGAGGTTTGGGTTTTTTGAGGTTTCTTTGAAATCCTCTCCTGGCTGGGCCCCTGGGGTCAAGATCAGGATTTGGGCCAGGCAGGACACGGAGTGGGGGTGGGGAACGGGCGCAGGCAGGCTGGGCCCCCAGAGCTGCACAATAACTGCTTTGGAGGGAGGAGGAGAGCCTGGGCAGAGAGGCTTTTGTATTTCATGGCCTGGCGTACCCGGTTTCCAGGGCAACCATGGACACCAAGGTTCTGTTAGAGGTGGAAGCCAAGACCAGAGGACAGCCAATTGACATACAGAGCCCAGCTACCTGGGCCAATGGGAAGTGGAGGTGGGCAGTGGGGCTGGGAGGGATCTGAGACTGAGAAGTGCAGAGATCTGGGCGAGTTGGAGTCCCACTGGCTGTCAGGTTCAGCAGAAGCAGGACCTGTTCCCCGCAACTCCTGCTCAGAAGGTTGTAGCAGGACCCTCATAGCTGCCAGGTCTGCAGAGGCAGGAGAGCCTGGAAAGCTGATCACAGATGCACCTGCTCTGAATGGAGTTCCTCCGGACCAGGGTTCCCAGGGAGGGGTGTGGCACCTTGGGGAGGGCCAGTCCTGTGGCCCTGCTGGCTGCCCTCAAGGCCAATGCCCTTTCTTGGCATCCCCTGTCACTGCTTCTCCGTGTGCAGAAATCACCATGGACAACAGCCTCCTAGCCATAGTTGTGGCCACCGGTGAGTACCTGCTGCCATTCTGAGTCCTAAGGGTGGGGCAGAGGCACCCTTGGCCCCTCACCATAGGCAAAGCCCAGATAGCCCAGCTTCTTCCTCTGTAGGGTCACCTCAAGCAACAGCCCTCCCCAGGCAAGACTTGAAATATGCTGTGCATGGCTGGTCCGGTCCCTTCCCTGTGCCAGGTCCTATGATGCCACAGTCTTTGATATGAGAGGGGCTGGGCACCAGGGGCTGTTGAGCTGGGCTCTTGGGTCCTCTCCTGCCTCCTCATATCCACTGTTTCTCAGGGTATTTGCTCCATCCCCTCCCTTTCTCTCTCTGTAAATGTTCTCTTACACACATCACCCACTGGGCTGAAGACAGAGAAGGGACAGGGCTACTCTGCTCCCCCTCACAAATCTGCCCCAAGGACTTGATGCTATAGCAAACAGGGAGCTGCCCGCAGCACAGTTTGCCTTGCTTGTCAAGCTGGTATCAGTCAGCCAGGTCATTCCTACACCAGCTTCTGGAGCGAATTCCAATCTGGTGAGGAGATGGGCCCACGTGTGCTGGGTCCGGGCTGCCCCCTGACGGTGCCTCTTGGGGGAGGGCAGCCTCATCCGCAGTGTTCATCATGGCCATCCTGCTGCTGCTACTGCACCAGCGTGAGCCCCAGTGCTGCCAGGTCCTCTGCACCTGCCACTTCTTCCGGAGTCCCAGCCAACAGGTAAGCACCCTGACCCACCAACCCCTTGCCTTCATGCCCCCCATCCCCAACCCAAATCCTGACAAAAGAGCACCTGTGCTCTGGCCAAGGAGAAACAATTATTCAGCATGGAAAGGGCCTTTGGAATCCCTTCTCTGCAGCCAGCCTGAGTTCCCTCTGAGTCAGGGAGCAGTGTGGAAAGGGTTACTAAGATCCAGGCCCCTCCCTGACCATTGTTAAACCGTGACTCAGTGCAAGGAGCTGCTCCGTGAGACAAGGTCTTTTCCCAGCTCCCAAGGGAAAGTGCAGAGCCACGGCTTCTGTGGGAAGGAGTAAATGGCAACCACGGCACTGTCAGTCCTCTCCCCAGGGACAGGGTGCCATATGGCATCCTGTATAGAAAGGAAACAAAATCTTCTGAGCTGTAGCCCCCCAGGCTCTGACACCATCCCCCCACTCTGGGCACCAGGCAGGAAGGGTAGGGACAGGAAGAGGTTTTCTCTGACTCTCCTGCCAAAGGTCATCAGAGCTGGCTACAAGACAGTGACAGAATGAGCTAGTGCCCAGAAAGGAGTGGAACCTCTACACCCCAGTGCATTTCAGAAATGCTCAAGGTCTGAGCTTTGTGCCTTGGCCCCGGTGGACAGGATTAAGGGGATGGAGAAAGGGGCATGGAGGAAAAGAAAGGGTTTGGAATCTGCTGTCTTGCACACTGACCATGAGCTTCACCCTGAGTTGTGCTTCATGATCCCAGGACTGCCCGCCTCCCTACTTCAGCACCATGGGACATCACGCTGAGGTCCAGCCAGTGGAAAGGAGCCAAGAGTTCCAGGGGATACAGGTGAGGGAGGAGCCCTGGGCCTGCCACCCAGGATGGGGGAAGAAGTATGTGCTGGGGTTCTGAAGCCAGGCAAGGGACCTAGTGTGGTTGAGGGGACTAAGAAGAATGCAGGGGAGGGAAGGATGGGATGAAGACTGGAGAGGCTTCTTGGAGGAAAGGGAGGAGTGTAATGCGCCTGAACTTGAGCTTGCTCTGGGGAAGAGGATCCAGACCGAAGCTGGGTAACACTGGTGCATGCCTCCCTGGCTCCCTTGACTTTTCTTGGTCATAGGGCCACGCCCACAGGGGTGAGGTATTCTGTGTGGGGCTGCCCAGGAGCCACCAGCTGCCCCTGTGGCAGCCAGCTCGTCTGCCCAGCTATGAGAGTGTTCGAAAGAAGGACCGGCAGCAGCATATTCACCAGCTGATTGCACAGCACTTCGGGCTCTGGGCCTGCAGAGAGGTGAATGTCCAGCCTTCTCAGCCCTGGAGTGCCCTGGGTGAACTGAGCTTTTCACTTACTGCATTTTAACACACAATACCCAATTAGAGGCCCTGGGGTCAAGAAAAGGGCCGATAGTGGAGAACCCAGGGATATGGCTGGAGGCCCCAGTTCACCTTTGTGTAGATGGTACAGGCCCCAGCCCTGGGAGGCCTAACGAGAGGGGTTTCCATGGAGCCAACATCTCCAGCACCCACTGGGAGATGCAGAAAGCAACAGTCCAAAGAAAGGGTGTTGCATATATGCGGGGAGGGCAAGCAAGTGGCTAATGCCTTTGCTCTCCCATCTCTCCAGCTGCCACCAAGCTATGAGGAAGCCATAAGGTCACTGCCTGCACCAGCGCTCCGCTGTGGCTCTACTTGGCCATCCCAGGAAGCAGCCACCTGCCCTGCTCAGAGAAGCACCACAGTGTAGGAGGGAGCAACCACCTCTGTCCTGCTCTTGCCCTTTCTCCAGGGGACTGGAAGGGAGAGCACTGAGCCTGTGGAGACAGCCCTCATCGATCTCCCCTGCCTAAAGACTACCCCAGCTGGGCGTTAGTACACGATGTCCCCACACAGGGTGCCAAAGTAAACCCCACAAATCCCAGGTCTCCTCTGCCAAGGATCTGCAGGAGGTGGGGAATCCAGGGTCATGTCCTGGGAAAACAAGATGACATGTTCAAGACAGACCTCCAGAACTGGGAGGCTTCTCTGACCTCCAGCCCTGGAGTGTCTGCCTTCAGGGCAGAATCGAGTCCCTGAAAGGAAGCCACTGGACCCACAAGCCCCTCTCTGGGGCTGTAGCCAATACCACCTACCTCCAACAGCCAGGAATGACCATCTAAAAACTTGATTTTCTTCCTGGCCCTCCACTCAAAGCCAAGCCTCTAAAGGTCTTGGCTGGGATGACAATGAAGGCCTGGCCCCAGCCCACTCTAAGCCCTCACCAAGTATTCCTGAAGCCAGATTCTTTATCGTTTGAGATAAACCAAGAACTAGAAAAGAACGTGGGCTTGGTAAGCCTAGCTCTTCAGGTAAGCGGGAAGAAGCCATTTGTTACCTACTCTGTCCTGCCACTGGAAGGACCTTGGTAGTCCAGGGCAGATGAGGCCTGACTGAGCCTCTCAGAAGCATCTCCTGCTATCCCACAAGCTCTCTCTCTGCCCTGGACCTGGAGAGGCAGAGTCTTCCCTGTGGCCACCTCTGGGGTTGCAGCCCCAACTCCCTTTGCATGTGGCTACAGCAGAAGAACTTGACTGTGTAGCTTCCTTTACTGGCTGCCTCCACCCCTCTTCCCAGGGCCAGCCCCTGGTCTTTTCTGGGATCTAGGAGGGGAAGCAGCAATGACACCCTCAAGCACAAGCTCCCCTCCTTCCCCACTGGAGGACTGTGCCAAAGCAAGCCCCCTCCTGCAAAGTGCCCCCTTCTAATTTCCTCACTCAGATATGCGCTTTCCTGCTTTGAGGCTCCCCACTGGTGTACACTAGAGAACCCGGGTAAGGACCAACACCAGGCAGTTCCATCTAGGTGTGTCCCTGAATAGCATACGTTCATGACTCTGGTTCACTTTATTTTTGGTCTCAGGTCAGGTCTCCCAAAGGGTTTCCCAGCAGTCACTTCAGAGTCTCCTGCAGAGTCACCATCAAGCAGACATCTTCCTCGGGAGGCTGTGTCATTGTCCCAATCCTTGACTTCTGGTAACACCATCTCCTGTCACCTGGGCTCCGGTCTCTGTCCAATGACCTCAAACAGGACTTCAAAGCATAGCTACCAGTTTGAAGGTGCCCTCAGGCTTGGTAGGAACCACGTGGACAAAAGTCTTGTAGAGCACAGCACCCTTGGGCAGCCTGGTGATGAGATCCATAGCCTCCATGTTTCTGGGATGAGGCACGTAGACCTCCTTAGTGTAGTGGACTATCCCCTCTTCCAGGGCATATAGACATTTATTCTTCCCAAGACCCACCTGCAACACACAGAGCTGGTCAGCTGGTCAGCAAGGTGGTCTGTCCCAGGGTTTTGGGACATAGTTCTCACACAGAGTCAAGCCCTGGGGCCAAAGAGAGGGATCAGAGAGCTCCATCTCAGGTTCCCTTTCCCACTGGCTGGCACTTTCACACCTTCTGCTTCTTTACTGACTCATAACAAAGGAGGGAAAAGAAAGCTCCAACAGCCAACACGGGTCACTGCTCAGTCCCAGGGGAGCTGTCACCTGGAGCCACGTCTATGCAGCTGGTCAGAAGCCACACTGGACAAATCCTAAAACCCAGGAAGATGCCCTAAATCTTCATTTAGACTTAAAAAACACTAGAACTGTCATATTAAAACAGTAGTTTGATGTAAATTTTCATCTAGATAGTGATCTATCAAGTTTAGGCTCTATGGAAAATACAGACCAAAGCTATATATGGTTAATGCATATGCTAATAATCATACTATTCCATCAGCTAATTCCCATGCAATGAAGTCATTTAATCCTCACCTTGTGAAAGAGGTACTATTTTCAACATCATTTTTCAGATGAGAAATATGAAGCAGAGAAGTTAAACTGTGTTGTATATACAGTTTTTAACTATATCTTTTAGCTTTTCCTTTAGAACTTCAGGCTGGATGTATAGCAAATTTTACCCAGGTAGTCCAGCACTACTGTCTGTCTCTCTGATTAAAAGAATGGGCTCTGGAGCCAGAATGCCTGGTTCAAATCCCAGCACTGCCACTTACTCCTGTGTGGTCTTAGGTAAGTTACTTCACTGTGCCTTTATTGTTTCATATGTCAAATAGGGATAATATTAATTACTTTACAGGGTCATTTTGAGGATTAGTGGTCAACAATCATAAAGGGCTTAGAATAGTGTCTAGTTCAAAATATGTTAGCTTTGTTGTTGACATAGCTACAAATCTAATGTCTTAAGTTTTAAAAGGCAAAGCTACTACATCTATAATCGATTCACATATATAAATTAGCATCTTTGAAATAAATACAGGTTATTGTCCGACTTTTTGTACCTACTAATGTTATCCGAAAAGGAGCAGGGGAGGGGAAACTGTTTACAAAAGAAACTAATAAGGGCCGGGCACGGTGGCTCAAGCCTGTAATCCCAGCACTTTGGGAGGCCGAGGCGGGTGGATCACGAGGTCAAGAGATCGAGACCATCCTGGTCAACATGGTGAAACCCCG